ATTTAGTAGTGGCTTTTGTTTAGAATTTACGTATTTAAATAAAATGTGTTTTTGAAACAAATCGTGCAATCCACTTTTGTGGTCTTGCCTCCTCCACCGACACACACATCCACCTTTTTAAACAAAATATATATTTTAGTTGTGGAAAAAAATAAAACCAGAATTTAATGTATTTAATTAAAAAAAAAAAAAAACCCTCCCTGGGCTGCCACCTTACCGTGGTGGAGAGGTTTGAGTGTCCCAATGATCCTAGGAGCTATGCTGTCAGGGGCTTTATGCCCCTAGTTGGGTCACCCATGGCAGACAGGTCCTAGGTGAGGGACCAGACAAAGTGCAGCCCAAACACACCCCTATGATGAAAAACACAAATGGACCTAGTGTTCCCTTGCCCGGACGTGGGTCACCGGGGCCCCACTCTGGAGCCAGGCCTGGAGGTGGGGCACGTGGGCGAGCGCCTGGTGGCCGGGCTTTTACCCATGGAGCTCGGCCGGGCACAGCCCGAAGAGGAGACGTGGGTCCCCCTTCCTATGGGCTCACCACCTGTGGGAGGGGCCAAAGGGGTCGGGTGCAATGTGGGATGGGTGGTGGCCGAGGGCGGGGACCCTGGCGGTCTGATCCTCGGCTACAGAAGCTGGCTATTGGGACGTGGAATGTCACCTCACTGGTGGGGAAGGAGCCTGAGCTGGTGTGTGAGGCTGAGAGGTTCCGGCTAGAAATAGTCGGACTCACCTCTACACATGGCTCGGGCTCTGGAACCAGTTTCCTTGAGAGGGGCTGGACACTCTTCCACTCTGGAGTTGCCCCTGGTGAGAGGCGCCGAGCAGGCGTGGGCGTACTAATTGCCCCCCAACTTGGTGCCTGTGTATTGGGGTTCACCCCCGTGAATGAGAGGGTGGCCTCTCTCCGCCTACGTGTGGGGGGACGGGTTCTGACTGTCGTTTGTGCTTATGCACCAAACGGCAGTTCAGATTATCCGCCCTTTCTGGAGTCCTTAGAGGGGGTACTGGAAAGTGCACCTTCTGGGGACTCCCTTGTTCTGCTGGGGGACTTCAATGCTCATGTGGGCAATGACAGTGAGACCTGGAGGGGTGTGGTTGGGAGGAACGGCCCCCCTGATCTGAACCAGAGTGGTGTTCTGTTGTTGGACTTCTGTGCTCGTCATGGATTGTCAATAACGAACACCTTGTTCAAGCATAAGGGTGTCCATATGTGCTCTTGGCACCAGGACACCCTAGGCCGCAGTTCGATGATCGACTTTGTCATCGTCTCATCTGATCTGCGGCCACATGTCTTGGACACTCGGGTGAAGAGAGGGGCAGAGCTGTCAACTGATCACTACCTGGTGGTGAGTTGGCTCCGATGGTGGGGGAGGATGCCGGTCAGACCTGGTAGGCCCAAACGTATTGTGAGGGTTTGCTGGGAACGTCTGGCAGAGTCTCCTGTGAGACGGAGTTTCAACTCCCACCTCCGGGAGAACTTTGAACATGTTCCAAGGGAGGTGGGGGACATTGAGTCTGAGTGGACCATGTTTCGTGCCTCTATTGTCGAGGCGGCTTACCAGAGCTGCGGCCGCAAGGTTGTCGGTGCCTGTCGGGGCGGCAACCCTCGAACCCGATGGTGGACACCGTCGGTGAGGGATGCTGTCAGGCTGAAGAAGGAGTCCTATCGGGCCTTTTTGGCCTGTGGGACCCCGGAAGCAGCTGATGGGTACCGGCAGTCCAAGCGACATGCGGCTCGGGTGGTTGCTGAGGCAAAAACTCGGGCATGGGAGGAGTTCGGAGAGGCCATGGAGAACGACTTCCGCACGGCTTCGAGACGTTTCTGGTCCACCATCCGGCGTCTCGGGGGGGGGAAGCGGTATGCCACCAACACTGTTTATAGTGGGAGTGGTTTGCTGCTGACCTCAACTCGGGATGTTGTGGGTCGGTGGGCGGAATACTTTGAAGACCTCCTCAATCCCACCGGCACGTCTTCCACTGAGGAAGCGGAGCCTGGGGACTCTGGGTCGGGCCCTCCAATCTCTGGTGCTGAGGTCACCGAGGTGGTTAAAAAGCTCCTCGGTGGCAGGGCCCCAGGGGTGGATGAGATCCGCCCAGAGTTCCTTAAGGCTCTGGATGTTGTAGGGTTGTGTTGGCTTACGCGACTCTGCAATGTTGCGTGGACATCGGGGGAAGTTCCCCTGGATTGGCAGACCGGGGTGGTGGTCCCCCTATTCAAAAAGGGGGACCGTAGAGTGTGTTCCAACTACAGGGGAATCACGCTCTTAAGCCTCCCTGGTAAGGTCTATTCGGGGGTTCTGGAGAGGAGGGTCCGTCGGATAGTCGAACCTCGGATTCAGGAGGAACAGTGCGGTTTTCGTCCTGGCCGTGGAACACTGGACCAGCTCTACACTCTCAGCAGGGTCCTGGAGGGTGCGTGGGAGTTTGCCCAACCAGTCTACATGTGCTTTGTGGACTTGGAGAAGGCTTTCGACCGCGTCCCTCGGGGGGCCCTGTGGGGGGTACTCTGGGAGTATGGGGTACCAGGCCCTTTGATATGGGCTGTTAGGTCCCTGTATGACCGGTGTCAGAGCCTGGTCCGCATCGCCGGCAGTAAGTCGGGCTTGTTCCCGGTGAGAGTTGGACTCCGCCAAGGTTGCCCTTTGTCACCGATTCTGTTCATAACTTTTATGGACAGAATTTCTAGGCGCAGCCAAGGTGTTGAGGGGATCCGTTTTGGTGGCCTCAGAATTGCGTCTCTGCTTTTTGCAGATGATGTGGTCTTATTGGCTTCATCAGATCGTGATCTACAGCTTTCACTGGAGAGGTTCACAGCCGAATGCGATGCGGCCGGGATGAAGATCAGTTCCTCCAAATCCGAGGCCATGGTCTTGAGCCGGAAAAGGGTAGAGTGCCCTCTCTGGGTCAGGGAGGAGGTCCTACCCCAAGTGGAGGAGTTCAAGTATCTCGGGGTCTTGTTCACGAATGAGGGAAAAATGGAGCGTGAGATCGATAGGCGGATAGGTGCAGCGTCTGCAGTGAAGCGGGCGCTGTACAGGTCTGTCGTGGTGAAGAGAGAGCTGAGTCAAAAGGCGAAGCTCTCAATTTACCGATCGATCTACGTTCCCACCCTCATCTATGGTCACGAGCTTTGGGTTGTGACCGAAAGAATGAGATCTCGGATACAAGCGGCCGAAATGAGTTTTCTCCGCAGGGTGTCTGGGCTCTCCCTTAGAGACAGGGTGAGAAGCTCGATCATCCGGGAGGGACTCAGAGTAGAGCCGCTGCTTCTCCACATCGAGAGGAGCCAGTTGAGGTGGCTTGGGCATCTGTTTAGGATGCCTTCTGGACGCCTCCCTGGTGAGGTGTTCCGGACACGTCCCACCGGAAGGAGGCCCAGGGGAAGACCCAGGACACGCTGGAGGGACTACGTTTCTCGGCTGGCCTGGGAACGCCTTGGGATTCCCCCGGAAGAGCTGGCCCAAGTGGCTGGGGAGAGGGAAGTCTGGGCCTCCCTACTTAGGCTGCTACCCCCGCGACCCGACCCCGGATAAGCGGAAGAAAATGGATGGATGGATGGATAATTAAAAAAAAAAAAAGAGCCTTTAACGTGACCAAAAAAGGTTAATTAACACATGGTCGAGGAGGAAAAGGCAAACTTCTTAAACATGTTCCATTTATTATCAGGCAGCAAATTTTACCTGTTAATCTGTTTTTTGACACGTTGTTAGATAAGATATTTAGCTCTAATGGAAAACTGTTCTTTAAAAATGGTATTCATCAGTTGTGCTATGGACAAAGAGTGTCTGGGGCTTGTCAAATGAATACTTTTGTATTTTAAATTGTGAAACATTTTCTCAGTCAAAGTAAAAATGATTTAGTGTTCAGTTTTCATTTGTCTTGAAATATAAGGTGTGTGTGTTCCTGTCGATCATTTTGTGGCCGTTGGTGCTGCTTTTTATAAAACTGGAAAGAAGATGAATTGCCAGAGTGAAGCAAGTATAGAGGCGTTTTCATTGGGGACTACAGATGGAAATTAGCCTCTTTAGCTAAATCTGGTATATTTATGTGATGTTTTCATGTTGATTAATATGCATTGTCCCTTTATAAAATAAAGAAATCCAAATCTCCAAATTATTAATTTTTCTGATTACTGCTAACAAAAACCCAAACGAACTGAAGACATCAGATTTCTATTTAACCAAAGGTTTGTGAGGATCTGACAACCACAATAATTTACTTCAAGGACCCTCTGCTTCGTTGAATGATTGAAGTTGTGATCCTCTTCAAATCAGCTAAAATAATATGTAATTTAAAGTTTAATTTAAAGACTATAATCCTCCTCAGAAATTATCTGTGTACATGCAGGAACTAAAAACCCATAATTAAGATGAGCAGCCTATGGAACTCTACAAATTTGTTAAAGAGAAGACGTTTTACACACTAAAATAAACGCTGTTTGCACAGTAATGTGTGTCATGTGTGGTTTAGTCCAGAAATAGTGTTTACTGTCACGTTTAATGGCACCAGTTTAGAAAACTGCTGTAGTTCATGACCTCTATGGGTCCTTTGAAATATGGGGTCAAATTACTAAGGTACAAACAAAATAAAAGTGGAGATCTTCTTGTTAGTTTTACACTAGATGATCATTTTTACATCAGTTTTAGAGCAATTTAGAAAAAGAAGAATTGTTTAAAGGTCCTTTCCACACATGCTCAGTTTGTTTCAGCCATTTGTACAGACGTAAGTACATTAGCGTATACGTATGTAGGTGTTAGTAGATTTGCTCACGAGAATAGATACGTTTTCATTAAAACACATTCTCAGTTCAGATTGCAACCATTACTCACGTCAATATATATCAGACAGGTAGAGAACTTCTAATATCGGGACAACTAAAGAAGCACAATATTCCAGTGTGACGTCCAGCGGACTGCAGGGATGTGAGCAGATGGTAGTAAAAGTAGTGAGAAGTCATTTCAGCGTGAGATGGTGTATTACTCTGCTCTTCTCTCCCTTCAGGTTCTCCATATAGAGATGAAATCACGCTGGGGATCTTACAGATGCAGGAGAGCAACAGATTGGAGATCCTGAAGAGACGATGGTGGGAGGGAGGACAGTGTCCCAAAGAGGAGGACCACCGAGCCAAAGGTGGGCTTCTCAGCTTTTTACATCGACCGACTAAAGCACGTCCATCCATCCATTATTTTTTACACGCTTCTTCCTTTTTGGGTCGCGGGGGGTCACTGGTGCCCATCTCCAGCCATCACTGTGCGAGAGACGGGGTACACCCTGGACAGGTCGCAAGTCCATCATAGGGACATATAGAGACAAACGGGTCTTGTTCATGAATGAGGGGTAAAATGAAGCGAGCAATCGATAGGCGGTTGGTGTGGTGTCGGCAGTGAAGCGGGCGCTGTACCGGTCTGTCGTGGTGAAGAGAGAGCTGAGTGTTTGACTCGGCTCTCGATTTACTGGTCAATCTACTTTCCTACCCTCATCTATGGTCATGAGCTTTGGGTTGTGACCTAAAGAACGAGATCACGGATACAAGCGGCCGAAATGAGTTTTCTCCGCAGGGTGTTTGGGCTCTCCCTTTAGAGATAGGGTGAGACGCTCGGTCATCCGGGAGGGACTCAGAGTAGAGCCGCTGCTTCTCCACATCGAGAGGAGCCAGTTGAGATGGCTCGGGCATCTGGTTAGGATGCCTCCTGGACACCTCCCTGGTGAGGTGTTCCAGACACGTCCCACTGGGAAGAGACCCAAAGGAAGACCCAGGACACGCTGGAGGGACTATGTTTCTCTGCTGACCTGGGAACGCCTCGGGATTCCCCCGGAGGAGCTGGCCCAAGTGGCTGAGGAGAGGGAAGTCTGGGCTTCCCTACTTAGGCTGCTACCCCCGTGACCCGACCTCGGATAAGCGGAAGAAAATAGATGGATGGATTTATTTAATAATAGGTCAGTTCTTTTTTGAGTGCATTCATATTCATGTCGACACCAATAATGCACCAGCCACGCCATGACCCAGAATGAAAAAGCAGGTAAAGAAAATGGATGCATAGATCATTCTCCTTTATTTTTATGTGATATTTTACCCCACCCTGATGAATTCAATTATGAGAATTGTTGCTTTGTTTTCTGTCGATTGACAAATGTGCTACAGTCCAGATTAAGTAAACGCACCTAGTTATATGATGAAAGCAGTCATTGAGTGACAGATCATCCCATCGCATTTTCATGCACCGGCACAAACTACCATTCAGCCAACCTCGGTCGAGGCACAGTCTAACTGAGACAAACTGCTGTGACAGATGGTGCAGTCATTAAAAATGTGGCACAATTAGTGTTAAACTGGTCAAAATGGACCCCAGTTCCATCGGAGTCAACACTTTGCAGGAAGATGGATGATGCCAGATGTTCTGTCTGAGAAGGCGGTTGTGCTTTCAGCTAAAAGTTTTCTGAGGTAACCCTCTGCATTTTGGAAGCTATTCTGTTTGCAGCATCAGAAATGTTATTTTTTTATGATCAAAGGCAAGAAACTGAAACCGAGTTGATGGGGGAATGAGAGGAATTTAATGAACAGTAATTACAAAGTTAGTTTTCAAAATGATTTAATTTGAAAATAATTGATGTGATGTTGGATCCATTGAATGAGACTGAACTAATATCTATGAATGTTCTACATGAAGTTTATTGAAGTAACATGGTTTTGATACAAGTATCAGGCTTCCAGTTGCACAAATGTCATCTTGATAAACAAAATTGTTTAAAAAATGACATTTCTGTCCAATGCTAATGTTATCATTGGACTACACCTAGAACAGCAACTCAAACAAGCTGTTTCTTAAAAGTTTTAATAGCCATTCTTGGATTTAAATGAGTCACTGTCTGTTATATATGCTTTATTAAAATTATACTGTTTTGGTACATTTGCGCAAAAGCAACATGTTGAATAATTTTGTATGACTTTCCTTATTGAATGACACAAATAGTGTCATTCAATAATGAAATAACTACAAATTTTACTTAAAGGTACTCATTGCAAATTATGAAACCATTAAAATGTTATTCTGAACTATATCAAACAATGCAGTTTGAAAGCGTTTACTCTACTTTTGTAAGGTGTATTGATTTCCAATTCTAAAATGTGGGTGGTCACTCAGTGCCCACTCTTTGGACAACAACTTTAAGTTCACTAGAGAGGATGCTAACAACAACAAGCTGCCATTTTTTGGACTATTTATTGGACATAAAAATGACCCATTGAAACGAAACCATTCTGTCAGAACTCTTCACCCCTGAGTTGAACATGTCCCCACAGGACCAGAAGGGAAAGAAAGAGAACAGGAACACATCAAAGAAGCTCTCCAACCTGTGGATGTCCTAACTGGACCTTTGCCAAATCAGCAAAGAAATCTACAATGCATGCCTCACAACAAAGCAGGCAAACCAAATGCAAAAGCATTGCAATCCCATGTGTTGCTGGAATATATCTGAGAAACTAAGAAGGATTTTCTCCAAACACAACATCGAGGAACGTCTCAAACAGAACAGGACCCTCCAACTGGTCCTTCCTACAGACCAAGTCCACAAACCCAAACTGAGCGGTGTGGTGTCTGAAGTTCAGTGCAGCGAGAAATGTTCAGACCTCTATCCACCTTATTCCTGGTGGCTCTACTGTGTAAATGATTATGGGTACAACTTCAGGAACAAACAGGAAGTAGCCGTAAGCATTGGTTAACCATGATAGTGGAGCACGGACTACGGTTTATTTGAAACTAATTTGCATTCAGTTTAGCAGATAAAACCCAGTTTTTGTTTTGTTTACATTTATTTAACAATCATAAAGTTTACTAAAATAGCCGCGCAGAGTTCAGGTACCTGTTGTGGTGGTCGTGGCTGCACGTACAACCAGATCCAACTAAATCAGTGGCTACAACTACAGTGTTTTGAACATGGACTCAAAACGACAAAAAGTGTTCCTATGAAAAGATGTATAGTTTCAATCTCCTACCTACAGATGAGGACTTGAGAAGAATGTGGCTGAAAATGTGAACTTGAAGAGACCACCCAAAACGCTGTATCTCATTTCACTTTGTTGACAAATGGCCGACGGAGGAAAACCTGCATCCTACTTTGTGTCTGGACTACAATAAATCACTGGAGAAGATGCCAGATCCTCAGAAGGATTAAAAACAGTGTGAGGAGAATAGCAGGTATGATTTCAATTGTATGGAGGGCTCAGCATTATAGGGTTTGTTTGTCTTTGTATTATGATTCTCTCTACAATTAACCCGAGCTTGGTGATGGAGGACTTTAAGGCTTCGGCTGGGCTATGTGTCTGCTTTGAGGTCAATAAGATTGTGTCGCACCTCTTTTAACAAAACGCCACTGACCTTTTATTGAGTAGATACTAATACAACTCTGAGCTTTTCAGATTGTTCATAGCTTCATCATCAGAAGCAACAGAGTCAATGAAGTAGCTAAGTATGCTATTACCGGTATATGTAATCTGTGGCCACTTTTTCAGGTCGTCCTCCCATCTCTCAACCGCAGTAGGCAGTGGTATGATTAAATTGTCCTGTTTGAGCTCTGACAGGTGGTGTTCCTACATGTTTAAATTAAATCCGCAATGCTTGGAGAAACTGTATTAGCTCGTACTGTTTGCACATAAACAAACGCCGATTCTGGTCCATGCCGGAAGTCATGCCCATAATTCACGAAAGGCACCATGGTGGATAATGGAGAAACTAAACAACCAATCCACAGATGCATGGCTCAACACAGGAGATAAGACAGCTGTGCACCTACGTACACCTCAAGGATAAGGAGCATTCTGCTGGGGATCATGATGCTCATACTTTGGATAGAAAAGACTGATAGATGTGAAGGATGCCATTTTCATCAAACGAGAAAAAAACAACTTTAAACAGAGAAGGGCTCAGATTTCAACTTTCACAAGCTACAATGCAACATTGGGCCTGATTCCTAGCCACTTCCACTCTAATTCACACCTTCATGAATGTGATCAAAACATCTTTCTGTGAGCCACAAAGAGCCTAACAACCCTCCATTGTGAGGGGCGAGTAGTTCTAGTCTAGTCGTTTAGGTGATGATACTAACGTGAGTGTGCTGCTAATGGCAAAATAAAAAAAGATAGAGTATGATGATACCCAAGAATAACTATCAGGGATCAAGCAGTGTAGTGAAGTGATATGACAGAACTGGAAATTCAAAGACACGTGACTTTTACAAAAGCATCTTATAGACAAATAACTTTACTGTTTCAACCTAACCCATCTGCATATTTTACTCATCTAATCTGAGCCTAGGATTAGGGTTAGGGTTAGCATGCAATGAGTACCTGTTAGAAGCAGATTTGTTGAGACATGTTAAAATACATTAATGATTTGGATAAATCAGCCAACAGACATGAAAATGTTGACATATGACAAAAATGGTACACTAGTCCCTTGTTCATCGTGGGGGTTTGGGACCACACCTCTCATGATAAGTGAAAAAGTGCAAAGTGGGGATACAGTAGTCCAAGTTCAAGTAAACTTTATTGTCATTACTATCTCATGGGGTACATGAGACATAACAAAATTATGTGTAGTAGCAAGTAGTTAGTAGTAGTTAGTAGTTGTTGTACAGGTATATATTAAGGCATTTTCAACCCTTCCCACACTCTTGCAATGTCTCAAACAATTTTCTAAGCTCTAAAAAGAGCACAGCAGGTCATGATCTCAGCTCTCTGCCTCTGGCCGCTCTCTGCCACCTGCCAGCGCTCTAGGCCACGCCCACTTCTCCGCTGCAGAGCGGAAATCTGACATGCTGCAGGAGGAAACTTCTTCAGCAGCTGTGGGCTGCACACACGTGCAGCAGGTGCTAAATCATTTAAAATAATGTATTTTAAATAAAAATTCCATGCCGATCGTGCAGCTCATCCGTCAATCAGCCAGTTGTGTGTCATGTCCAGTCTTAATTTGAAAACTGAAACAAAGCGAGTCTGCAAAAAACAAACCGTGAAGTAGTGAGGGACTACTGTACAACAGCAAGCAAGACATGTCAGTATTTATTTATGTATCTCTTATAATTAAAAAAATAATAATAATAAATTGAACATTTCAAATTTGCTTGACATTATATTTGAGGTGGGGCATGATGTAGAAAAACACTTGACATGAACGAGCCTGCATTTTGTTGTTGAATGTCCCAATTTCTGCTTGTCAGTTTATTGATTATGCAGAATGCCATTCTTTGGCTTCATGACCTACATTTTTTATTTTATTTTTTCTTCTGGTGGTTCTTCTTGTAACAAGACGATGTGAGTAAGACTTGCTTCTTGATTAGGTCTTCAGCAGCTGATCGTACAGAGATCTTTGGTTCAGTGCGTGTATTGATCCGCTGCACCCTGTCACCCATTTGTGTAGCTGTCGTCATTCTCAGACCAGGAAATAAAGTCTCTGGATAATTTTCTAAATTTATGAGTTGTTTTTTTTTTTTATATATATATATTTTTTTTTTTCCTTGTATTTTGGGGAAAATACTGTCCACACAAAAGCATCACTTCCTTTAGGAGACCAAAGACATTTTGGCATAAATGCAGAAAGTTTAATAAAGTTTTGTTTAAATAAGTACAACATTAGTTTTTTGAATGTGTTTGCTTGAAATCAACCTGAACAATATCTTGTCCTAACCATCTGAAAAAAGACTTTGCGTTGGAGTGAACAGTGAAAAAAACAACTCATTAAAGTGGCATTAAGTCTCATCGAGTGTGTTTTTGTGGCTCATCACACAGTAAACACAATGTTTGATTTTAGTGTGTCCACAGAGACAGACAGCTGTTGACATGCAAATCCTCCAAATATTAAAGCTTTATGAGGTTTTCTGAAAAAAAAAAAAAAACACTAAATAAAAAAAAATCTGTCTTCGAACAATTCCAAGTGCTTCAGACTTGTAGTTGTTGCTGCACTTGGTTCTGGGTGGAAGCACTTGTAAAACTTGAGTTTGACAGCAGCTGAGATGAAGGACATGCAATTTTGCTCTTACACACACACTTCAGGTGCCACAGCCTGTCACTGCAGAAGCTTTTCAGTGCTGTCACAATCTCACAGGTAAGAGAAGGTAAAGGTAGCTTGGCAATCTCTCGTCTCTTTCCACCCGCACTGAGTTAAGGAGGGAACCCAAGATGAAACTTTTATCTCCTTGACCAGTTTGGCGAGTCTCTTCTCTTCAACAGTCATGCTGCTGACCCTTCCATCAAAAGGAAGACGAAAAATAAAAAAAATGCCAGGTGTGCATGGTGTACTTTAAAATAACTTTTTTTTTCCAACAGCTAAACTCTAGAGCTCTAGCTCTATCGCTGTCAAAGATCTTGTAGATCTTGACTCTCTTGAGCCATGTCTAAAGCAATTAATCTTAAAGTCTGAGTCTAAAACTATTCCGAGATTCGTAACAAACAGATTAACTCTGTTCTCCAATAAACTTCATCCAGTTAAAGCAGGTAGTTAAGCTTAAGTCCGTGTTGACCAGATCTGACCTTGAAAGAAATAGTCCATGCATTCGTTACAACCCTGCTAGACTACTGTGACGCGCTTTATGTTGGGGTCAGTCAGGTGTTCCTTTCACGTCTCCAGCAGGTTTGAGCACTTCACCAGTTTTGTCCTCCCTTCATTGGCTCCCTGTACAGTATGTCAGAAGTGATTTTAAGATTCTCCTGTTAACATTTAAGTGCATAAATGACCTTGCACCCTCATATTTTCTGACCTATTTCAACCATATCTAAGATTCATAACTGACTGTAGCTTCCGTACCCACCATTGCACCCTGTATTCACTGGTTAAATGGACATCATTAATTTCATGCAGACTCTCACACTGGAACATTTTCATCTTTAAATCACTTCTTGGTCTGTTGCCTTCATACATTTCCTCCTACCTGTCTCTGCGTGAGTGGAGCAACAGCGTGCATGCTCAGGACATAATTACCTGCAGTGTTCCTTCAGTGCAGACTGAACCAGGCAAAATGACCTTCTCCTACTCCGCTCCTGGAACAAGGAACACTGTGCTAAAGATCTGAAGCTCTCAACCTTGACCTCTCTAAGGGATTTTAAACATCTGCTAAGTTCATGGCAAAAACCAATGCAGACATGTTCCTGTTTTTAGTATTTTATATTGCTTTATAATGTAGCTGTTTTTTGTTTCATTATTTAATATAATTTATTCCATTTGCTTTTCATTTTATATGCTTTTTTTATGATTGTCTACTGTTGTCATCTATGTTCTTTGTTTAAAACTCATGTAAATGAGTTCTCAAGGCTCACTGAGACTAACAACCTGTATAAATAACGGATGAATTGAATTCAGTTGAACTTTATGTTCCTTCTCGGGCGCTGAGATCATCTGACCAGCTGCTTTTGGTTGTACAAAAAAAAACAGGTTGAAGCTCAGAGGAGATCTGGCTTTTTCAGTCATGGACCCTAAACTCTGGATCAATCTGCCCCTCAACATTAGACAGATCATTTCACTTCCTGTTTTTAAATCTCTCCTAAAAACACATTGTATTCAGTGACGTTTAACACATTGTGATTTGATTCACTATTTCATTATGTTTTTTTTTTTAATATATTTTTGATGCTTTTAATTACATATTGTTGTTTTTATTTACTGCCTTGATCTTACTGTTAAACACTTTGGTAACAGCTGTTTTAAATGTGCTTTATAAATAAATTTGACTTGACTTGCTCTGACACTTGCTGTAAAACATAAGTTTAATGTACTCCTACACTTATTACTCAGGTGAATATAGAATAGACTTAATATTCATTACCTGGTTACTTCAGACATTCACTGGTTTATCTGCGCCCGCATTAGTAAATTAAAATAAATGTTATCCCCACCTGTTCTTTAGATTGACTTCTGTTTAGTTGGAGGTGGTTCTTCTGGCACCAGCCCATAATGAGATTATCCAAGACTTAACTCCATGGAAAGGCAAACCAAAAATGTCAAAATTGCATGTATTGCCATGGAAAAGGAAGTACGTATTAAGGCATTCAATAAATGCCACAGACTCCTCTTACTGGGGAGACTTGACATTGAATTTTCAATTAAAGATTAAAACAACAAACTTGTTAAATAGTCAAACTGTAAGAGTAGTTTTAAGTGAACTTTGTATTGGAGTAAATCTACAGGCTCTTAACATTTTCATTTTGATGCATCCTCCTCCGCTCTGTCCACATTTTGCTGTTTGTCTTATGAATCTTTTTCAGAGCCCCCTTTTTTGCATAACTTCTGAATTGTAACGATCGATTTGATCAGCTGGTCTCTCAACAAAAATTATTATTATTTTCTCAACAGGTAGTCAGGGTGAAGGAGAAGCCTCTTACCTTGACAGAAACATAATTGTATCTATGATAACTGGATTTTACTGTTTGGAGTTGGTGAAAATCTGGATTGTCGACAAATTTGGAAACCTCAGCAGCTGTTTAAGCTGCCTGGAATGTGGAGATTGTGCCGAGCTTGGCAGCACTCAGATTATTTGTGGTGCTGTATCAAAAGCTGAGTAGGCTGATCCTTATCAGGACTGTGGAACTTTCTAGCAGTGTCCACAAATGGTTGGAAGGAATAAATTTTGGAGACGTTGTAAACTCGACTTAGCTTAAGTAATCAAATTCAGCTGTTTGGAGTCGCCATGAGAGAATGTACTAACGAGGCTGTTAAGGCAGACAGTGAAATTTACGAGTTGATATCTGAATCTGGACCTGGCCTTGGAAAGTGGACTATCTCAAATATCTCCTTGGATGTTATGGAAACAAAGACACCCTGCCTCCCTTCACCAAGGTCATAGACCTGTGACAGAGCTCAACCAAGCTGGCTGATAAACAAACAGCTCTTATCAGGACTATGGCTGGGGGGGACTCTGGATTGTGCTGTGCTACAACCTTCCCTCAAACTAAACGCCTCCACTGGCCTCCCTCGCCTCCCCTGCTGCAACAACCTAGGAGATGTGAGGGTGCCAAGGGCTGTGTCGCTCACCTGCCAGCTGTGCTGAGGCCCCCTCCCCCACCCTCTCCACATACATATGTATTCTGTCTATTTATGTTGCTTTCATATGGTAGAATTTTTTTTATCTTGATTTTGATTTTTTTTTTCATACCTCTATGTTGTTCTTCCCTTTTTCTTATTTAAGCAAACGGGGCAGTAAACATTAGAAGCTGCAGCACTTTGTATATTTCTGTCCATCTTTAGAATGGCTGTACGAAAAGTAAAATTGTTGTACTTCACTGTGCAAGGCTAATAAAAACATTCTGATTCTGATTTTGCAAACTTGTAGATTATATTTTTTTTCTATTTAATACACCATTTTATTTATTTATTTTTTAATGGTAATGCCTCTAATTAACCATGGGTTTGTACATGCTCTGTGCAGCCATATCCATAAACCAGATGTACCTAAATGCTACAAGAAAAAAAATGAATATGTTCTTCAAAATGTTCAAGTAAAGATGTTTTATGGATATAATTGAATGAATGAATGAAACTATTCACTGAGTTGATTCTAAAAAGAGCCTATTGTCGACTAAATTAATTCTTAACAGCTGGACAAAAATGAACCTAGACATTTTAAGGTAGCTGCCATCTTTGTTCAAACAGCATTATTATACTGTATATTGTCAGCAGAAAGGAGCAGCAGAAAATCCTTTCTTTAAAAAAAAAATGCTTAAAGGTGCCAAACCTCTTATTGAAGAGTAAAAAAATGAAAGGAAAAAACTAATTGTAGCCTGCACATTGCCAGACGTCTCTGGTATTGACTGCAGCTTCTCTCTCAAGGTTTTTTACTCCACTCTGGACAAGAACTACAAAAAGAAAACAGAACTTTAAAGCATATAATAATAAACTGCAATGCATTAGAGAATAATGCACATTGCGGTGGATTTTCTATACTGACTTACAGCTTTAGAAGGAGCTCTAAGGGAACTGGACAAAAGAACAAAAAGATTATTCAAAATGTGCTAAGAAGTCAAAATTGTTTAATACTTTGCTCTTCACCTTTGTGTTTTTCAGGTCTTGGCATGGAGAATATCGGCGGGATCTTTGTAGTCCTAATATGTGGCCTCATTGTAGCTGTGTTTGTGGCCATTATGGAGTTTGTTTGGTCAACACGCCGCACCGCTGAGACGGGCGAGGTAAACCTTTATCCTTCTGTAGCTGTCTGAGTGAGACCTGGTTTAATAAGAGGTAGATGTAACCATTTGAGCTACTCTTGTTTCCTATATTGAAATTCCAATCAAAGAATGTACAGTACTGTCATGTAAATAGTAAAAGTTCAAATACATGAGGACATTTAATTAGTAATAAGTGCTGCTTTCAGTACCAAGCAAAAGGCAAATAAGGCCTCTAAGAAAAACAAAATAAAAAAAATATGCACATAGAAACTCTGCTCTGTTGAACAGTAAAAAGCAGCAAACACGTCTCTCCATATGTCAAAGTTTGTGGAAAATACACATCAAGTTGAACTTATTTAGTCATTTTCAAGAATCCTTTTTTGCAATGACCTAACGATGATGTACCCCATCTCTTGGATAATGATATGCTGGAGATGGGCATCTGCTCCCCCACAACCTGGAAAAGAAAAAGTAAAGAAAACTGCCAACACTTGCTGGTGGCAATGAGGGACACATACAGCAGAACTTTTAGCGAGCACCAGCAGTGCAAAGTGGTCTATGCGGGGTGGGGGTCCAGGGTAAATCCACAGTCTCCACCCCAGAAAATGTTTAATAGGTTTTTGCATTTTCCAGATATTGAAAGTGCATTTTTCTAAATTATTGGGCTTAATAAAACATAAACTCATATGTATTTAAAGGTTAAACATTGACTTATATCTAGTCTTTAAGCTAAATTTTATCTAAGATCAGACGTGATAATTCTCTTGCACTTGTTTTCAGTGGTGGCTGGTGAAATTTCCACCGGTGGGGGGGCTATAACTCCAAAATAGACATACTGTATGTCAAAATATATATGTTCAAGACATTTCACACACACGCACGCATCACAGACTCATCGGTTCGCTCACTCATGCTCATGTCTGCGTGCTTTATTAACTCCTTACCAGTGTAAACACAGTAAATAAGGCACATTGATGATGACTGCCGTTAGAATTTTCAATGTTGCTTGATGTGGTGGTCTGCTCCAGTCCTCTTCTTTCTACACAGGACCCCGGCTGGCAAAAAAACAAACCCAGCGCTGAATGCAGCGGGTCTCCCAACTATCTGCCTGATCAAAATTAATGCTGCACCTATTTTAAATGTGCTGCTGTCTGAGAGCTAAATAATATTTCATACATAGCCTGGTTGTGAGTGTCACTGCATGATCTGTTCAGGGACAAAATAATAATAATAATGATAGTTAAAAAAATAAACTAAAATAAATAATCAATCAATCCATTCAGTCCAATTAACTAATCAGTTGAATCAATGAATTAATCAAATCAATTAATCAATCAGTCAATCTATACAATCAGTCAATCTGTACCAGGATGGTGGGACTGGAAGCACGATCCACACAGTGCGCCGGTACTCAGGGCGCTGGAGTAGTGCGCCCAGAATTTCCCTATCTCTTGTAATGAAAAGGAGCTAACTGTCCATGTACAACTTTTAACAAGAGTCTATGGGCTAAGATTCTTGTTTCCCCCCCAGGGTGGAAATATGTCACCAATCAGAGACGATGTTTTTGAAAGAAACAACTTAACTCATCATAATAAAATACTTGTCTTATACAACAAAAAATATATACATATATTTTGATTTTTTTTTTTTTTTATTATTTCATTTTTTTAAAGTCTTTAATGTAATATGGTGAGTGGTGTGAGTGGTGGGGCGGTGCCCTAGTGCCCACTATTGAGCAGCCGCCACTGCTTGTTTTTGTTATTTTAACACTGATCATGTGTTTGTCTTGACTGCATCAAACTACTTTTACTGCAAAGTACCTTTAGCATCATATAACCTTACAGAGTAACAAATCAGGCTATCATTATAAATCTACTAAATAAGTAACAGAACAATTTGTCTTCACAAACCTATGTAACCAACTACTATTCTACACACTGAATCAACTATACCCATGTAAAATGTTTTATAGTCTTTATAGTGTCATGTCTTTGATGCGTAAAACACAAGTGTATATGTTCCCAAAGAATGGATGTTTGAGAAACTTTTATAAGTAGTTAATTGCTAAATAAACTGCAACTACTCACCAATAACCAAGTCATTTTATATCCCACTGTGTACACACTCCATGCAGATTAACTTCAAAATGAAACAAACAGCATAGAATATGTCATTAAGAAGCAACAGCTATTCCACCATCACCAATGTGGAAGGGAAATTGTGATAAAGTGAAGATTCGATGCAATATGCCGGCTTCCTTCGACAAATTACTTTTACTAATTGCCTATTTATAATGTATGTGAATGTATTTGTCCAGATAACATTCGTTGTGAAGTGGGACTATATCATTAAACTGAACTGAAATGAAATCACACAGATGATGTAGGAACTCTAAAAGTAATCATCTACCACTACTGTTAGGGTTTTTACTGTTGTTTTTATTTTTGAAAGAACTCACGGCTGTATTTTATATTTAAATAACCAAATCCCAAATGGACATTGTGGACAAGTTCATGAAACTTCTAAAAAGTTGCTCCTAAAATTGTATATCTTTGCTCAAGTCAAGTGCAGAAAATGTTGAGATCAGTTTTGGAGATGTGTCTTTTTAATTGTATGTTTTATTTATGCTTGTCAGTATGTCAATGCATTATTTAATCAAGCCTAAAATTAACTTTTTTGGACACAATGGCTAGCCTAAAAATAATTGGTTTGCCATTTACATTATTTAAAAAATAATTTTAAATACACTTAAGTATTTAATGAGAATTTAAAAGAATATTTTAAAAAAATTCTAAGCTGTCTGTTTTCCCACATTTATATTCCAGTATTATTTTATGTTGTCTTTTCCCCCTTTTTATCCCCTGCAGATAGAGTTTGTAACTTTGACTTTCATTCACTCTCATTTATCTGTCATTGATTTGACTTTCTGCTTGGGCTGTTTTTATAGGGCAGATTATGTGACTTGCATCCATGCACACACACATAACACAGACACATACACACACTATATATTGCCAGATAACATTGGTTTGATGTGAAAAGCTGCAGAAAATTACCACACATTGATGAAAACACAATGTGTTCACACTTCTTTTACCCATTCTTCCATTCTTCAAGAGTACATTCATTTTCTCTCCAAGATTTAATAGATAGATAGATAGATAGATAGATAGATAGATAGATAGATAGATA